AATGAAAAAAATATTATACCTACATTAATAAAGATTAGAATGCAAAGAAAAAATATCTAAAAATTTAAAATAAAAAACTTGCTTACATTATGTACAGTGTTGCGAAAATATCATATTCGCGACATTGCCATACGTACAGCGTATATAATATACATATGTTTAATATTATATTTAAAAATCGAATATTTTTTTTTACTTCCTACACTGAAAAATTGGTTCTTAGGCACCTCTAGAAGGTGCTCACCAGGAAAAGTTGTACAAAAAAGTCCTTACGTTTATATCGCTAAAGTGAACAGTTTACAAGATATGAGCAGTAATAGGTATTTAAAAATTAGTGTTTTTTTAAGATTATTTTGTTTTAAATTCGATTCCATGACTATTAAATATCTTGTAAACTGTGCAATTTAGCGATATAAATATAAAAACTTTTTTATAGAGAATAACATTTTCTACAACTTTTTTTAAACTTTTATAAAAAGACAATATATTTTCAAAAATATGTGAAAAAAGTAAAAAAAAATAGCTGATGCCATCAAGGTGAATCGAGTTAGAGAAAAATTCTTATGGGCTCTTCTAAAAAGCGTTAAATACTATGTAAGTACCAATGAACCATATATTATAGCTTAAAACTCGGCAAAGATATAGAAATTAAAAAAAAGTGATTGAAAATAAATGCTTTTAAAATGGGAAAAATTCAAAATGAAAAAAAAGTAGTTAGAATAAAAATTAAGGGCTCAAACTCGACGTTTTGAACAATATTTTCGTCCCCGATTCCACGGCAGAAAGTTTACGTTTGATGCATTGGTCAAGCTATACGTATTTTCGGCCGAGGTAGTAAGAAAATGTAACTTTTTATCCTTCTACAAAATAAAAAATACAGAAATATATCGATATATGGTCAAGCCGTGTCGCAAATGTCGGGGCAGGCATCAATATGTTTCGATATACACATTTAAATTTTTCTCGTATTTTCGGCCGGGTAGCAAGAAAAATAGTATACACTACACGGGCAGAAAGTGTGAGAGCCCTTAACTGCGCGCCATGATGCCCGAGGCGAATCTCACACTTTCTGCCCTTGTAGTGTAATATACTATATAAGTACCTTTTAGTTATTGTTAAACAAATAAAACTATGAAGATAAAATGTTGTATGCCATGTGGCTTAGAAGTGTCTTTTTGTGCTCCGTTTAATTTTAGGTCTCCAATATGCGTCGGTAATCAAAATTTGAGCTTTGCACAAAAAGACTCGGTTCTCAGGCTTATGACATAAATTACTACAAACTTTTTTTACACACAATTAAATAACTTACTTACTAAGTATTATTGCAGTAAATATTTTGTGTAAAAGTACTGGTTGGATAAATAACACCTATTTTTTAAAGAGTTTATGATTTTAATGTAACCATGGTTACATTAAAATCATAAACTTAAATTAAAAGTACTGGTTGGATAAATAACACCTATTTTTTAAAGAGTTTATGATTTTAATGTAACCATGGTTACATTAAAATCATAAACATAAATTTGTGCACAAATTAAACAATCAGCAAAAATGTATTTTTAATCTAGGTATTAGTTACCTACCGCATGACACATTAGTTAATGAGGTAATACCAAAATTACAGGGGTAATACCACGAGTGTTAAATTTTTTTATGAAAGCGCATTTGTTTATAATTCTACGAGTTCGTAAAATAAATACAAATTTAACATCCACCGTAAATAAAAATTATCTGGTTCATTTTTAAGCACAAGCGGTATTTAGGGAGAAAATTTCTCGAGTAAAAATACCTAAAAAATGGTAAATTTATTAAAACAGCATAAACAATATAACTAATTATATATAAATAGTATTACATATTTTTAATTTTCTTCGTTTCTTTTTCTTGAATATTACTAAAACGATTTATTTTTATTGAGTTTTGTGCAAAAACTAGTTTTATCGTTTTTGATTTGCGAAATAAACAAGCAAACTTAAATTCAGAGCTGGGCACGAGTACTTAAAAAAGTATTCGTAAAATTTTAAGTACGAGTACTTAAAATATTTACTCGTAAGTACTTTACTGGTAAGTACATTTGTAAATGAGGTTACGGTTACGAGTAGTAATCGTGAAAACACGAGTAAAGAGTACGAGTACTTAAAAAAAAGTTAATTATTATAATTGATTATTCTTTACTAGTCAAAAATGACTAATTGAGGAGCATCCCTGCAAAACCGGCTAAATCCATTTTATTCAGTTTTTGTTTTTTTTTTCTGATTTCGCATCTTTGGGTTCATTTCTATCGACAACCAAGATAATTCTGTTTAAATCCGACTATATCCATGTTAAAATCACATTTAAAAGGTAGCTTTAGGAGCAAAACCGGCCAAATCCACCTTTTTATAGCAAACCCGGCTATATCCAATAAATAATAATGATGATGAGCATGTGGCTTGGATATGTCGATACTACTACTAAAATTTGTTCTGTTTTTTCATGTTTGCACTAAATTTATTTTGTTAATATTTTTGAATAATAAAGGTTTTTTTCACATTTTATTCGGTTTTTGAGCAAAACCGGCTATATACAAATTTTTTTTTTGAAATTTTGGCCTTAATATAAAGTTTTTGAAAACGAAAGTATGTCTTATAAATCAAGTACCACAAATCCCACAAAACTCAAGTTTGCTTTTTCTTTTATATGTAAAGGCCAGGAAACCGAGAGTTTTTGCCATTTTCCCAACATTTTATTAAAGTGGATATAGCCGGTTTTGCACGGATGCTCCTCAATTGTCATAGCGAAAAAGCAGCCACAATTCTCGTCAATAGCAATTTGGGTTTTTAAAATTTAGCAGTCAATTTCCACGTAATATTGTTCCCTGAATCCGAAAATGTCGTCAAAAGTTAGAAAAGTAGAACAGTTTTTGAGATATAGTCCATTTTCCATAAAATATGGAATTGACTACATCTCAAAAACTGCTTCACTTTCATAATTTTTGACGGTATTTTCACTAATTTCCACTAATAACTGTGATAATTAGTCATTTTTGACTAATTCATTTTTAGAGAGTGTACATACATTAGGGTGGGTCAAAAAAATCGACTATTTTTATTTTGACTTCTGCCACTGAAAAATCGGTTTCTGGACACCTTCAAAACATGCTTAGCAATGATGAGCTCTTAACTTTGATGGGAAGATCCGCCTCATTACAGTTTTGCATATTTTTCTTAGTCCCCTACAAAAAATTCATATCTCATCATTCGTTAATCACACAGCAAAACTCTAAAGAAGTTATTTGTAGAAAATTAAATGTTCTACAAAAAAGATCTCCTATACTTTTTTGATCAATCTAACTATTAAAGAGATATTCAAGGTCAAAGATTGAAGAATTTTAAGAAAGATAACTTTTCTGTTCTGAATTTTTTAACTTACTGAAAAAAAATGATCGACAATTGAGATTTTACTATGTCTATCGGAAATTGAACGCTTTACAAAAAAGGTCTCTTAGGATTTATCGATTACTCTAACCAATCAAAAGATATTCGCATTGGAATGTCAGTGCATACTGCTATTGATATGCGAATATCTTTTGATTGGTTAGAGTAATCGATAAATCCTAAGAGACCTTTTTTGTAGAGCGTTCAATTTCTGATAGACATAGTAAAATCCCAATTGTCGATAATTTTTTTTCAGTATGTTACAAAATTCAGAACAGAAAAGTTATCTTTCTTCAAATTCCTCAATCTTTGACCTTAAATATCTCTTTAATAGTTAGATTGATCAAAAAAGTATAAGAGATCTTTTTTGTAGAACATTTAATTTTCTACAAATAACTCCTTTAGAGTTTTGCTGTATGATTAACGAATGATGAGATATGAATTTTTTTGTAGGGGACTAAGAAAAATATGCAAAACTGTAATGAGGCGGATCTCCCCATCAAAGTTAAGAGCTCATCGTTGCTAAGCATGTTTTGAAGGTGCTCAGAAACCGATTTTTCAGTGGCAGAAGTCAAAATAAAAATAGTCGATTTTTTTGACTCACCCTATTATACATACTTTGGTCCTGAGCTATAAAAATACAAATACAAATTTATAAAATTATTTATTTTAAACATTATTATATATGTATATATTAAATAGATTATAATTTTTCCTATTTACTTGTTATAAAACCTATAGACTATAATATATTTTTTCTACTCTTATTATGGAATATGACCGTTCTAATATCACTTTTATCTATGGAATGACATATATTCCGTAAAGTGCTACAGAATGAAATATTCTATCATCTGATGACAGAATAAACACTCGTGGCGACATCTCTGTTTTTAATATCTACCAAATTTTAGACCGATCCAACCTCACTTTCTGCCAATTAAATTATTTGTCTTTGGTATTTTTTGGAAACGTAGAAAAAGTATTGTCTGAAACACGTTTGGAATTGCATATTCCCCTCTCATGAAACTTTTCACTCGAGCGGAATATGCTGTATTCCAAACTTGTTACAGAATATACTAATATTATACTATATATTATATAATTTAAAACAGACTTCCAAACAAAATGTTTTGATGCTTACGATATTTTGGCAAAAAGTCATCCATGTAATAAACGAAAATACTCGTATATATTACTCGTGAATTCTACGAGTATTTTTTACGAGTACATTGAATTTGGTTTGTAAGTACGAGTAATAAGTATTTCGAATGAAAAATACTTATGAGTAAAAAAGTACTCGTACTTTTTTACTCGTAATTGAAATACGAGTAAAAGTACTCAGTACTTGGCCAGCTCTGGAGCCTACATTGTAACAAATATTTGCTGTGATAAACGCGTATCTATGCAGTTTCAGGCATTTCATTGGTTCCAATAATAATTATATTCTCATTCTCTGTGTAAACAACATGTATCCTTATTTATTGCGCTCTGTTTGCATACAATTTTATGCAACCCAAATAAGAAACATAATTACGCCCAAAGTAAAACCGCAAATAATTAAATTTTTTATTGGACTTTCAGCCTGTTTCCGAAGAGTTTTGGCGGGCAAACGCGTGGCCCGTGGCTTCGTGAAAAGAGCCTTGAGTTGCGAATCCGTCGAAGAGTGTCAGAGAGAATGTGGAGACGAAAAACGTTTTATCTGCGAGGGCTTCAATTACAGGTAATTATATTATTCATTCGCCGCAATTAAAGTGGAATTATGTAGGTACCCAATTTACGTACACTTGCACACGTAATTTTAAAGAACATCTGATCTTGGAGGACATTAAGAAGTCTGTAATTATTACACGCTGTGTGTGAAAATATATTTTACAATGTTTATAAAAATGTGTATATACTTTTTGTATTTTTTTTAAAGAGTGTACAATTTTTATTTAACAGGCTTAAGGATTAAACAATTGCCCAGTAATTAAATAATGTAGCTTCTAGCAGGTGAGAAAAAAAGAGGATCCATAAAAGAACGAGTGTCTAGAGAAGTTTATTAACGATGCACTTTATCTACGATAAACACAATTTTATTTTTTTTAAATTTGCATCTATCAACTCTCACCCAAAATTTAACCTTACTTTTACCCAATTTTAAATAAAGCTAACTAGCCCGTGACTGAAAAGCCCAAAAGTCACTGTTTCTAAGTTTAGTCCGTGACTAAAACGCTATAAAGTCATAGGTTGTCAATGTATGAGTAGATAAAACAATAAATAATAACAATAAATAATAAAACTTTTAGTGTATCCCTTAGAACGAACGAACTACAAAACACCGAAACTTAAAGCTGAAATAATATTAATATTATTTGCGTAAGGTAAAACGAATTAAATGTTTAGGAATTAATATTTTATTGCTATAAAATATAAAGTATACCTATACATTAGGGTGGACCTTAACTATAATATAAAAAAATAAAAGACATTTTTTTCTCACGCCGCGGCGTAAATTTGTTCCATTTTTTGAAAAAATAATTTTTATAAAATCTGGAATCGATCACATAACGGAAAGACGTGGCACATCGCTCATATATACATTAGACTGGTCCAAAAAAATCAACTATTTTTTTTTGAAAAGTATATCGAAAATATGGTTTGGGGCGACAAAAAAAATTATTGTGAAAGTTTGAGTCCATAATATTAATATTATGGATTATGGATAATATTATTATCATCGCAATTTTAATTTTTTTTCCTCATCAAGGTTTTGTCTCAGAACTCCCAAACCATTGAGTTTAACAAAATTTACTTAAAAATATTTTTTTAAGAAAATTAAATGCTCTGACAAGAATTTCGTTTTGACTTTAACTTTAACCTTGAATAACTTTTGATTTAATGAATTTAGCCAAAAATGTTAAGAGACTTTTTTTGTAAAGCATTTGATTTCACATAAGAATATTTATCGTTTTTATGGGTACTGATTATATTATAAATTCCGAAGTTAAAAGATCAAAATGTAAAACTATACCAATGTTTAGGGCATGATTTTAAGAAAACGGTTCATCTGACGAAAAATTTTATTTAACCTTTTTTGTAGACTTGATGAGGGAAAAAAATTAAAATTGCGATGATAGACCTCTTAATATTAATATTATGGACTCAAACTTTCACAATAATTTTTTTTGTCGCCCCAAACCATATTTTAGATATACTTTTAAAAAAAATAGTTGAATTTTTTTGGCCCAGTCTAATATACATGTATGTATATTATATGTCAGCATGCTAAAATTTATTGCTCGTAACAATAAGTAGGCTCGCATACAATCCTACATTGACTGTTATGCTGTATGAAACCAATATATTAGGAAATAGAATTGAAAAACATCATGACATTTATTCTTTTTGTGAATAAAATTTACTAGCAATAAATAATTATTAATAATATCAACAAATTCATCATAAATTTGAGAAATAAGTTACCTCTTCTATTAGGGGAAAATTCGAAATTTCAAATTCGATGTGCCACGTCTTTTCGTTCTCCGATTGATCTGAAATTTAAAAGAGGATACTTTTTCACAAAATGAAAAAAGTTTAGAGGGCGGCGTGAAAAAAAAACGAAGGTCCGAAAATAAGGTCCACCCTACTCAGGCCCGGACTGGCCAGGTCCGCAGGTCCGCGATCGCGGAGGGCCCCTGCCTGAGAGGGCCCCAAAGGGGTCCCCACATAATGTACAAAAAAAAGTTTTTGTCTTGTTAGAAGTTATTTGGAGTTCCTTGTAATGTGTTTAGATTTTCAAAAGTAGAACACTTCCAACAACTGTTTATATCTCGCCGTTTATACGAAAGCTTTATACGAGCTACTGGGTTGTGAGTTGAGTTACGTTATTGTGGTGTATCGTCTGCGCGGTCCCCCCTCTCCTACATATAATAACATCCACTCCCACCCCACACCATTGTTAAAAAAAAATTATCTGAGTATAGCATTGCAATGTCAAATATTATTGCTTGTTTGTTTGATGGAGCTAACAACATGAAAGGCTGTTACAATGGGCTACAAGCCCATTTAAAAAAAGAAAATAAAGACCTTATTTATATATAGCTACAACTAGGTTCAGTACGTGTGCCATACAGTGAGTATACTCACTGTATGGCACACGTACTGAACCTAGTTGTAGCTGACTCCACAGTAAAGTTACTACAAGCTAAGAACTTGTTTGGGTTGGTGGAAGAATCTGCGTTATTTCTTACCTCATCGCACAAGAGAATGGCCGTCTGGGAAAAGGAAACAAAAAGAAAACATACTGCTCATGACAAGATTTACAGAGGGCAAAAAATAGGAGCAACTGTGTAAAATTGAAAGAAGTTGGCTGTTGATGGATCTGCGACAGTTTGCACAACAATACAGCAACTTCATAGCGGCAGAGTCCACTGAGAACTACGGAGACAGATGTAATGACGAAGAAGACGATTTGGACCCAACCGAAGAATCGGAAAAAAATGCTGATATTTACTGCTCTGAAAATAGACAATGTTTCCAGTGTTTGACATGTGCTTTTTCTGTTCTGTTTGAAAATATATATTGCATATAAATTTATTCTTGCCATACCTTGTACCCAAGTAACATGTGAACGAGTTTTTTCTAAACTTAAAATAGTCAAAAATCGACTTCGGTCGTCTTTAGGCCAAGACCTTATGTCCAGTCTGCTTTTTATTAATGTTGAGAGAGATTTATTGTAAACTGTTAAATACACAGGATTTTTTTAAAAATGTTAGTATTATTTTTCTAATCCCTAAAATCCGTATGACATTATTTTTATTACATTATTAATTTTGACATAATTCATTATACTTTGGTGTGAATAAAATACTGCACTTTATTTTGAACTCCTTTGTTATTATTGGCAGTTCTACAGCATGTGTTTTGTAGTGTTGTGGTATCCTAAAAATACTGTGAATTTCTTATTTTAATAAATAATAAAGTCAACAAAAGTCGAAAATCATAATATTCGTATAAAAACCTAGCTGAATTTATTCTTCGCGTAAAACGCGTTTTCAAGCACCTAATTTTCAAAAAATTTCCATACCCTCTCAGACCACCGGTAGAGGGCCCCTTTACAGGTTTTAGCTGAGGGCCCCAAATGGTCCCAGTCCGGGCCTGACCCTACTATACATAGGTAAAATAATATCAAAATTGTATGCAATAATGATATATTTATTTTAAAAACAATTAAATTAAGAAAACATTTTTTAATGATAAAATATTTCTGTTTTTATTTTTTTAGTATTATTTACAGTTTTCCAAATAAATAAAATACAATGTTAAAGCAATGATTTAATCCTTTTAAATTTTTGAATACCTGCAAGAACAAAATAAAAAAAATATATTTACCCATATATATATTATAATAACAATAATAATAATATAACAAGTGGTATGATTATCATCGATGATACTTTCGAATTGAAACCAGAGCAAACCGTTATAATATTAATTCAATGAGTAAATATCGATAATTAATCATACCACGAGTTATATTTAGTGAGAAAATATAATGAATTTAAGGATTTAACGGATTGTCACTTTGACATTTAAAATTAAAATGTGCTTTAAAATATAAAAAGACTAATAAACCTTATTTATTCAAACTTACCTTAATTTTATGATCTTTTACACCAACACATCGATCTTTTAGAGTTTATAATTTATTATTTTAATCATTTAACAAACACAGTATTTAAATGTCAAATCAAGAAAAGTGTCAAAATCCTTAGCAAAGTGTAAACAAGGTGATAAAAAATATTGTCGCTGTGATAAAATGCGTAACTATGGAATACTGGCATTTTATTGATTCTAATTATAATGAATTGTATTGTCAATATATTTTTTTATTAAACTAAATAAACTTTTTTAGTTAAAGCCAGTTCTTTTGTGGGATCATGTTTTTTTTATTTGTATACCCTTTTTTAAATATACATTTTTAATTAAAAACAATCTTTGATCTTTAACGTTTTAAAGCGTTGGAAAAAAACAGAAGAATTGCAAAAACATTCTTTTTCCGTTTTTCCCGGGCCTTGAAAAAATTGGAAATTTATAAATATATTCGCGTTTTAATAAAAGTTTTACTTAGTAAGGCTGTTTATAACTTTTTTAAAACCAATTTTTTTTGCACTCTGCACCGAACCTTTAACTGTGGAAAAAATGGAAAGGAAAAAATGCAACAGTAACTTTTTTGTAAATTGAACAATTTTGCGGTTTTTTTTCGTCAGCTCAATTTTTACGAAAATTTTAAAACACTGGGTAAAAAACAGACTAGAATAATTATTATATTGCTTAAAGTAATTTGCTTTAAAAATTTTATTTATTATTAAAAAAAAATGTTTAATACCTAATTAAAAAATAAACCAATTAATTGGTAATTAATTTTTTCTACTTTCACCTTTAAAACGTACATCTTTCCATGACACTAATTGACCACACATTGACAGGTTGTGGCTTTATAGCGCTTTAGTCACGGGCTGAAGTTAGCAGCAGGTTTTTAGTCACGGGGTGAAGTTAGTTTTTAGTTAGATGTCATGAGATGTCAAATGTCATACAATCGTTAAAATAAAGTGCCTTTCTTATAAAATATTACTAAATGTGAAAATTATTTTATTATCTCAATACAAAAATACAAAAGTATTAAATAGTTCCTCAACGCGAATAATTATTATATTGCTTAAAGTAATTTGCTTTAAA